TCTTTTCCCCCCCCCCCACAGGTATGCATAACAATAAGGCTCAGTTATAATAGAGCGTGGATATCAATATCCACTTGCCGTTCTATGCTTCTCTACCCACGCTGGCCCACAAATTCAGAAAAATGGGGCAAAGGTGTGGAGTTGAGGAAGCCCCCTATAGTTCTCTGTTATTGGAGCAGAGTCAGTCATGTAATTTTTGCCAGGTCACATGACTGGGCTCTCATCCCAATTTTTTATTCTTTTCTACTGCACTTCAATAGCTTAAGGGATTCTGAAGTGCAGAGCACAATTGTAAAGCACATTGCTGCACTTTAAACATGTGCAGAGTTTGTTTTTAAAAAGCAACAGTGCAGCCATACCACTGCTTTTTATATTGTTGGGGGGGGGGGGGCAGTTAAGATTATCAAAACTGGAGCATTTGCCCATGGCAAACAATCAGCTTCTCTCTTCAGTTAGTTCAGTTAAGATTATCAAAACTGGAGCATTTGCCCATGGCAAACAATCAGCTTCTCTGTTCAGTTAAGATTATCAAAACTGGAGCATTTGCCCATGGCAAACAATCAGCTTCTCTCTTCAGTTAAGATTTGAAAATGAAAGAGAGAAGCTGATTGGTTGCCATGAACAGCTGCTGCAGGTTTTGTCTGCTCCAGTTTTGATAAATACCCCTCTCTGTATTTTATTAGCAAGTAGGGTCAATACAAACATTACATTGTAACTGTGAAATGACTTGTTATCATGAGCATATTGATACATAAAATAGTGTACATCACACTTGTCTGGGAGTTGTATCTTCTGTTTTTTCTATTTCCCCAACTTGATGTACATGAATGAAAGAAAACAGGACCAACATCCAGGCATATGGACTTGGAGGGGTGGTTAGGATGGGAGACATGGAGACATCAGGCCCAAAAGTCTATGGCTAAGGAAGCAGGGTGGGGAATGAAAAAAGGAAGGTGGGTTTGGGGGAATATGCAGATCAAGCTACACACTGCATGACTGACAGGTGAGGCACAAGGTTTATATTGTCAAACTAAGTGGTCATTTAACATTAAATATGTCATTCAGATTATGTTGTGATTGTGCGTGAAGGAACACTGGTTAGAGGGGAAATGTAGCCATGTGACCCAGATATTGTAAAGCTCATCATACTGGTCTTTAGAAAGATGGTCCCGTCTCTCTGCTCCCAACATTTCAGTCACTTTATTAACCCATCCAGGAATTGTTGAAGATTGATCTTGCCTCTAATGGATGAAGATTAGGCCTTTTGCACTGTTTGTTTTTTAGGTTGGGAATGCCACTGTGTTTATATGTTTTAATGGGGGGGCTTGGTTTAATGAAAAAGGAAAAGCAAAGAGTAATTTGGCAAGTGATGTAGTATTACATCCTAATGTTGGGTAGAAAGCCAATGTGGTTTCATTTTGGGACAATCTCATCATATGTGGATGAACATGCCTCTGGGTGCAGCCTCTCCCACAGGTGTCATAGAAGGAGAAATTTGAGCTAGTTTGGTCAGGACACTATACCATCTTGTAAGTAATTTATAGCAAGATTCTTGCTTTTGGAAGTCTAGGGACAGGACATGCGAAAAGCATATCATTTAGGCTCTTGGGTGTTGTGAGGGTCATTCCCAGTTCTGGCTCCCTGAAAAAGTGTAAACCTTCTTTAAGCTTACTATGGAGGAAGAATTTGTTTAAACGGGAGAAGAGGTCTTTGTGAATTGGCTACCATATACGAAGGGAATTTGTGGGTCTAAGATTCTGAATTGTAGAAAAAAAAATAGCTTCGCTGGATGTGTCTCTAAGTGTCTAATGGGAATCTCCCATACTGATCCAGTAGGTGTGCTAAAGGAAGTATCTGACCGCTGTTTACAATGTGCTACAGCAAGTTTTACCATCTATGGCACATGATCAGCAAAAGGACAGGTAACCTGGAGAATCCTCCTAACAGGGATAGAGGGGATATCTGGGGGAGGCATTGTGGCATTTAATCTGACAAGATTTTGAATGCGTCAGTGGGGATGTCTTTTCTAAAAGGCCTCTGGCATATTTCGGTATCCAAAGTGTGTGTGCTTGGTTGCATCATGTCATAGACTTTTCTAGTGATTCCAATAGTTGTGTTTAACATGGAATTTCCAGTTAAATATTCTAGTCAATGGGACTGCTCTATAGTAAAACAGTACATCAGGGGGGCCCAGTCCCCCTACAGCTTTAAAGTGTAGTTCACTATTTGTCATTTGTGAATAGGAATGGTTGGGTTAGGACACCATTAACTTTGACATTGGCTGTGAGATCTTTACCACTGCTTTTCAAATAAGCCAGACAGCAATGAGTGGGTTAGCACGGTCTGTCTGATGTTACTGTTATGTTACTTCAAGTAACATAACAGTAATGCAGATACCTAATGTTTGATTATCGCCTAAGCTTCAACATCATGTGACCATTTTCATTTGAATGATTGGTGCATATTGTTCCTTGTAAGTTGAAGGACTAAACTTAAAATGAACTTGACCTGACCTAAAAGGCAACAGTGCTGAAGTGCAAGCAGTTTTGGTTTCTGAAAGTATCCATGTTAATTTTCACATCAATCGTGGTGTCCATGTGAAGCCACTTGGATCCTAGACTCGAGCAGTATACAAGGTCCCAGCATCTGTTTAAATGAATAGTTAATTGACCCTGTTGATATAATACATTTATATAAAAAACCTTTTTTTTGTACCTTTCCTGCGGGCTGTAACTCTTATTTTGAAAGTCAATCTCCTAGGTTGCCTGCAGCGCTCACTGATTCCTACTGCTGCCTTCCATATCATTACTGTCTTCTGTAATGACGTGGAATCAGGAGGCATCTTCTAAGAGCTGTAGGGTACCCAGGAGACTGACACTCACAGAAGTGCCCCAGCATTTTTTCAGGCAGCAGGTAATGTAAGTATGTATATTGTTATATAGGGATGCCTTCATTTAAAAAGTGCAGTAAAGTGACTGGTTCCCTTAAAGCCCCAGTCCCAATCCCTGTTAATCAACTCTCACACTGAGCAGTAAAGGTTCTAGAATTTGTTCGCTAAATGACAGGGGATGGGGCTCAGGGACAGGAAAGGACAGAGTTTAACACTTATTTCTAATCTGTGTTCAATTTTAAACCTAGGAGCACGTGCCTGTGAGCATTCCTTATTCTAAGACCGCACTATCACCGACAGGTTCCAGTTTCCTACAGATAATCGGGAACCAGCGTTGTTACAGATCATATGATCACAACCAGTCATGATTACATGAGTGCAAGATATGGCAACCGTTCACATCAGTTTATAATTAGCAAGTGCACATGGGTCGGGAAGTACACTAAACAGTACAACAATTCCTTAGCACTTGATTCATAATTAAATAATAATAATTTAACTGTTTTTCAAAACAGGATTTTTATTTAATAGATTTGGAAATGCATGTGAAGCCACACTGCTGGAGCTGCAAAGCAATCCCTGTAAAGGTTCTTGGAATAAGTTGATTCCTTAGAAACGAAATTCCAAATGGTTTGATAATGTAATTTTTTTTATGCAATAATCCAAAATAAAGATCTTCAATATTACTTATTCTCTTTGCAGTTCTTCCTCATATCTCTTTCGTCTGATGGCAGTCATTGTTCATCATGGTGACATGCATTCAGGACATTTTGTTACTTATCGACGTTCCCCTCCTGCAGCCAAGAGCCAAACGCTTTCCAGCCAGCAGTGGTTGTGGATTTCAGATGACTCAGTGCGCAGAGCGAACATACAGGAAGTTCTTTCATCTTGTGCTTATTTACTGTTCTATGAACGTGTGTTTCCAAAGCCTCGTAATCCAGGACATGAGGCCAGAGCAGAGGAATGAAAAGAGCAAAGGAGACACAGCTCTGTCTTGGATTTTATTTATATGCTTCCATTGCGAAAAGATTCAAATGCCAAGCCTTACAATGCAGAGGAACAGATTTCTAACCTATACTTCTGGAAAATAATCGTGGACATGAGGTATCATCAGGTCTCAAGGCACCTAAATAAAAAAAACAAGACTTGGTAATCATGTTGTCTGGTCAGTATAGGCAATCAATAAAACCTAACGTATAGTTGTTGATTTTCCATCATTTTTGTAAAATATTTTTAACCATTTACTATACATAATTTATATAACAATTTACTGGGAATTTCATAGCGTTATTTTTTACCTGAAAGATTTTCTGTTCGTGAGAAACAGAACCCAAGATCATCGTCCTATTATATACAGCATATGTCCCAAAAAAGCTAGATGTAAATGGTAATTTTTGCATAGAGCTCAAACAATGAACCAAGATCAAAAATATAATCTATTGCTGATTACCAGTCTTTAGATTTGGTAATTGCATTACTCTTCATTTTCTTTGGGGCTGAGTTCATTTTCTGCAAGTACAGAAAAATGCCTGATCTTTCAAGACATTTTTTGATTGTAACCTGTGCACTTATAGTGACATTACAGTCACATTCTCTCTGCCCCCTCCCTCTCCCCCCAATGCTGCCTTAAGGACTTACCTTAAATGATGCTTCTTGATCCAATCATCTTCTTTCCAGTAGTTTTCAGGAGTCCCTCCAGCGCTCGCTGATCCAGCGCAGACTTCTCAGTTCCCACGGTGTCTGTGCACATGGATGCTGCCGGCTGCATGCATTGACTTAAGGTCCCCACACACCTTACGATCGTACGATAATCGCGGGAAATCACGCGATCGTACGATTATCGTAAGGTGTGTGGAAGCCGTGCCACCTCTACTACTGTAAGGTCGCACGACTTTGAACTTACGAACATGTTCGAAAACCCGCCAAGCGTCGTACGATGTTTGGCGGGTCTGTTGCATGTTCGTAAGATAAAAGCCGGACGGGCCAGTGTGCGCATAGGCACACTGCCCGTTCGGCATTGCGGTCATCGGAAGCCCGCCCCTCAGAGGGCGTGGCTTGCGATCATCGCAAGTACGATCTGCCTATGCAAGATAGGCAGATTGTACGTTTTTTTTTTTAAGTACCTTACAACCATCGCAAGACAAAAGTCTTGCGATGGTTGTAAGGTGTGTGCCCAGCCTTACCCTGTGTCTCTCCTCTTCTCCCGGCCAAAGATCTGTACTGCCCATGCACCTGTCCCATGATCCTTTGCAGCCACCCGAGATTTTTTCAGATCTTTGTACTGGAGCGAGCAGCGGGGACACAGGCAAGTAATAACCTGTTTGTTAACTTTTTTTAAAATGTTTTTGCATATATCTACTGCTTGTTAGCAGTAGATGTATGCAAAAAAAAGGTTTAAATCTACTATATATTGATATCTCAAATAAATGTTATCAGCTTTCCCAACTTGTATGAATTACAACACCCTCCTTCCCATGAAATGAAGATGAGGAGGCAAGGTGTTTGTAGTGCAAATCAGAATACCAGCCTAAGGTGATAAAGTTGCTCCTCCATAGATCCAGTACAGTGTGTGAGCGTTGTCACCCTAGGACAGGAAATGCGTTACCTGCAGGATCACCAGGTAAATAAGAAAACTAATGCAGCCATCACATCTGAGGATCACTGGTAAACTGCAATATATTACATTTTGCTTTGGGGTTTAGATGTGCTTTCAATCGTGTACAAGCCAATGTTTACATGTATTTTATATCTAACATCCAGCTAAAAAGGCTTCGATATACTTCCCGTAAAATGCCACAAAATATTTTATTGCTTTATTTAATTGCTTCTCGTGTATATGTGTAAATAAGAGATTATTTATTCTTGCCTACAGATTGTATTAAATGACTTGTAATTCACACTTTAATTTGAGTATGTTGTAATAATATGTGGTAATAAAGATGTTTTCCTGAAGAATGTTGTTACACCATTATATGCCATGTAATTTCTGCGAACACCGCCTGAACTTTCCAGCAATCTCATTTATGAAAAATTGTCATTTATTAAAGTGTAAGTGTAGGCATTATTAATCTTGATATTTAATCCTGCGAGGTTTTCTTAAAAAATACATATATTTTAAATTCGGACTCTGGGTACATACAAAAGCACAAATGTAGCAGCATGCTCACCTTTACTATATTGCTCACCTTTTACTATATTGCTCACCTATACCTCACTAAAATATCTCTGTGAAATTGTCTTTAAAGTGTGCTTCAGCTAGGGTTAAGGCCATCATTTCCTCTCATGGAGACCAGTCACCTCATCCATCTGGATGACAGACCTCCTCCTGTAATTTTACACAGGCATGAACATCATCACCGTGCCATTATTACTGCCCATGTACCAGTCCATTCTGTGCAACTAAGCTATGCCCTTGCTCTCTCATCTGCAGATTGCTAAAAAAGCAATCGTATAGCAAATGCAGAGCAGGGAAAAGGTGAGTGGGGAGACAGAGAAATGCGGCCAGTGTGGGTGTTTGTTCCTGACAGCATCACCCTATTGCATATAGTGCTGCTGCTACTGCCTATGCATATGCCTACGAAAGTACATGGGAGTCCTATTCGAAGTATCGTAACAAAGGAAGTCGACTTAAGGTGCCCTCAAAGAGCAAATTATGAAAACAACATTTTTATTAATCGCATACAAATTGAAATTTTGTAAGAGCATTATATTAAAAATAAAACTTGGTGAAGGAATATGTTAGTGCAAATAATAATCAATTTTGTATACTAATCAATACACTACTGTCTTACTAAATCAATATATAAGCTTAGAGGCTGACTCCTTCTTCCGTCTGCTCACTCTCAACTCCCCTATGCCACCACACAGACGACAGACCTTCCACTGCCCCGCTGGGGTCTCCTCTACCCAGGGATTCTTGTTCAGATTCTTCTGTCGGCTTGTTTGCTGGGACTGTGTCTCATCCGGGTACTCTCTCCCTGGGGTGGATAAGTTCAGCAATGGTACCTAGTACAATGTCATCCCTCAGTGACATCTCCCTATTTCTCCAGAGAGACCCTCTGACCTATTTGGTCATTCTAGACCAGTGCTGGCAGATCTATGCCCCAACAGCACTTTCATTCCTCAGTGTCTCTCCTGCAGTATTTCTCAAAGTGATAACTCAGCCACCTGTCTAGTGCCATGTCCTGGCATCCTGGCCAACTGTATAGCTGGGGTTTAGGGTAACGCTGAGGTGATGTGGTTAAAATTAGGTAAAAAGAAGACACCTATAGTGTCAATATCCCGGTCTCCTGCTGTGCTCTGTGAGTCACAGGACACAATGTCAGTGGTGGCCATATCAGCTGTGCAGGTGCACAGGGGCTTCTAAAGTCCTGGGGCCCATAAAAGGTAGGAGTTGTGTCTGGGCCCCAGGTCAGTGGGTGGTACTTGATGGTATCTGATAGTTTGGGTGCAGGAATCAGTATGTCAAGAAGAGCTCCTGCTTTAGAAAAAAATAACCGACCACCATTCAGCGAATGACACATATATCACATTTACCTTCAACATCACCTCTGTGTTGCCATCCTTACCCACAACACCAGCCTCATCTGTCATGGCTCTGTGGCCGCTCTTACCTACAATAAAACCTCCAGCTTGCCACTTATACCCACAACACCACCCTGGTCTTCCATTGCTCTGCAATCACCCTCACCAACTCCACTTGTACCTGATCATCCTGTCTATACATGGCATATTTACCCACAACACCACTCTCTTCTACAATGGCTCTAGGCAATCCTTACCTTCAACATTGCCACCACCTGACAACCCTTATACACAAAACCACCCTTAGCTGCCTCCACCGGACCACCCTAATTTGGTAAGATTGTCAGCACTATCACCTACATGTTGTATCTATCACTGCCCAGACACTGGCAGGGTATTAGAGCCATGATTTTACATTTAAGGTTTTTGGCATCCTGCCGGATTCATACTCAAGTTTGTAGAGCTGTTACTTTCCATACTGTGCCAGCGGCTGAGTTGGTGTGTGACCTGTCCAAAAAACTGGGTGTTAGCAAGCATGTCACTACCAACCAACATCTCGACTTGATCCTGCGGATTCACAGCCCCAACCAACTAATGACCTTAATTTAGGACCCGTAACATACAGGCGTCTTGCAAAAGTTTAGCTAATCTCCAATACTGCAATCCACAGCACTCAAACTGAAGAACCCAATTACTGGAGAGGAATTACACAAAGCTCTAAACCAATTCAAACCCAGCAAAAGCCAACAAGCTCATTATTATAAGACCTTTGAACAAGTGTTGTTGAAAAACTCCTTGGTTGTGGGCTTGGCCCCGCCCCCCCAGGCTGCCTGAGACCCTCACCCGGAACATCCCAACTCCCTTCCACCCAGAGAAGAATGGAACATGCAGACAGGTGGCAACTCTCCACTCTGCAAACCCACTGAACACGGCTGCGACCCACTTTTGAGTCGAGACCCACTAGTTGAGAACCAGGGTTTTAGATCAGGGGTAGCCAAACACTGGTCCTCCAGCTGTGGTGGAACTACAAATCCCATGAGGCATTGCAACATTCTCACAGCCACAGACATGACTCCCGAAGAGAGAAGCATCATGGGATTTGTAGTTTTACCACAGCCGGAGGACCAGTGTTTGGCTACCCCTGCTCTAGATGGTATTTTTTCTAACTTTTCCTGTATAAAATCAAATCTCTTGTGACAGCCTATACTAGAAATGCTGACAGGCAGAGGGCACCTTTTTGCACATCTGGTGGACTTGTCTGGCCATATAAAAATTCTGGCAGGAATCTGAAAAGCTAATCCATGCAATCATGGGTGGAACATCTCCTCAGTGCTGGTGTTCTTACATCATACAAATACAGGAGGACCCTTTTTCACATTCTCAATACAGTTAAACTCCTAATCCCAGTATGTACACACTCCTGCCACACCCCCAGTTATGCAGACCATTTTATATGCCAAAAATGATTGGTTAAACCCAGAATTTTTTTTTTTCACCATTACTTTTCCTTTACACTGGCTTTTCAAAATCGCAACGTGAGGTACAGGAATGCCCTTCATTC